GGTAGTATTGCTCTAAGACCCATTTTCTGTTTAACAAATAGTGTTTCTATATGGGATTTGGCAGCAAAACCCCAGACGAGGGAGCAGTAATTAAGGTGAGACTGCACAAAGCTGTGATATATTTGTAAACGTGCTTCCAGAGGCAAATATTTTTTAAGTTTGTACATGACTCCAATGTATCTGGCCATTTTCATTTTCATGGCAGAAATATGTTGCGACCAGTTCAGTTTGTTATCTATTATAACACCTAATGTAATTTATTATAGCTCTTATCGCATTTGATGGCGACTACATATTGTTGAGCTTTATTCCATGACAATACCACACAATGGGACCCGAACACGAGGGTGGAGGAAACGAGGGCGGAGGAAACAACCTCGTGTCCTACTGCCCACATAATTTAATGCCCTGATATCTGACTCAAGTTATTTGAGAGGCTACAGACTCTGGGGATTGTGTTGTGATCTTCCTTATACCGGGTTTATTCTATACAATGCACTTTTCTTTCCCCCCGAAATGCCTGGTATATATAGATAGAGCTATAGAGGTTAGGGTATACACTATACTTATAATCGGATCTTTTTTCTTCTAAAAAAGCCATGGTGATTGTTAACCTAATAATTTTATTAACTTTTTCTACCTGCAGTTTGACGCTGGTGCTTAATCATGGAGTGAGAACTGAGGACACAGAAGATGTTGAAACTGTTAAGGCGAACCAGGGTGAGTCACAGCTCTAAATTGTTAATTCTCTAAAATATTACATAGTTAATTACGGTACCTTCGGATAAAAATGTGTTAGAGACATTTATTCCCAGCAAAAGTTACTGGCTGGTGGTGGTACTAGAGTTGGTTTAACCCATTAGGGACGATAGGGTCGTTTACGACCCACCTTTTCTAGACTCTAGAGGCTATAGAGGACAAACCAAAATACTAAATGCCACGAATCTTTCGCACATATGCTCAAAATTTATTGGGCTACATTATTGACTTTCCAGTCGAGACCCAATTAATCACTAACGACTAAATAATTAGGCTAATTAGTCGCCATAATTGGAAAATATTTCACTTAACTTCTTGCCTTGATTGGGACATTAAAACTTTATGTAGGCTTATTTTTTTGAGGACAAAATAGTTGCAGGCAACGATTCCCTTGAGACATATGAAAAGCCCGTGATAATCAGATGTTCACAAACAGAGCTAGACGCTGTTTACTAACTGCGGTCGCATACGACCCACTCGTCCGGGTCGCAAACGACCCATCACGGTTTTTCGGCTTTAAGGGGGGGGGGGGGGTTCACCCTGATTTTTTTTGCGAAACTTGGTTTCGAGATAACAGTTGATCAACAAACTAGGACCAGTGACCGAACTTTTGAAGGGGTCCCGGACCCCAACCGCCAAACGGTGCCCGCGGGGCAGCCACGCCCATATTTGGTCCAAATTAGGCCCAATTTAGCCAAATACCCTGAACATGCCCAAAATCCAGATTTTAGGTGCTCTACTTGTAGCTAGTGGTTCCCTGAACTCGTATATGAATTTTCATCAAGATTGGACAAAAAATGACTGAGTTATGAGCAAAAAACCATATGACCATATTTGGGCATACGCACCAAATTTGATCGATTTTGGCCCATAAATTGGTCAAATATCAATATTTTTGAATAAAATATATTAGCTCAGTATCTACCTAATTGTGGATTCTATGTTCAAATAATCGCAAAAAATGAACAAAATTGCCCATATCTCAGTACGCGATATTTGCAAAACTGACTTCGCTAAAAACAATAGAACTCAATAGGGTTTCAATATTTTTTCATGAAATTTTCAGAATCAACGTAGAATTGTCTCATGACCTTAAGTTTTGGGACAGAATTTTGAGTTAGGCCTTTAAAAAATTTGGCAGCCAAATTCCAAAATTTGCACTGCTAAATTTAGAATTTGGCATAGAATCCACAATTAGGTAGATACTGAGCTGATAATCATAGATAATGTGTAGTATAGGCTTACCTTCCATATAAAGTTGGTTTCATTCAAAAATATTGATATTTGACCAATTTATGGGCCAAAATCGATCAAATTTGGTGCGTATGCCCAAATATGGTCATATGGTTTTTTGCTCATAACTCAGTCATTTTTTGTCCAATCTTGATGAAAATTCATATTCGAGTTCAGGAACCCACTAGCTACAAGAAAAGCACCTAAAATCTGGATTTTGGGCATGTTCAGGGTATTTGGCTAAATTGGGCCTAATTTGGACCAAATATGGGCGTGGTTGCCCGGCGGGCACCGTTTGGCGGTTGGGGTCCGGGACCCCTTCAAAAGTTCGGCCCCCCCCCCCTTAGCTTCTGAAACAAAGACGCGACGTTAGGATAAAATAAAAACTGTAGCATAAGTTACAAAATATGGTCAATGACTCAATACTGTGTGACTCTAACTTTTAAAAAATAAATATTAGTATAATGTTTATATTAGTATAAAAACATGTTATATCTTGGTCATTACTCCTGTACGTTGATTTAACTTTTAAAATCGATAAACTGGGTCAATAAAGACCCACTCGGAAGTTGAACCACGTCATCAATTATCAGTATCATGCTATTCCACCATCAAGAAAGACACACGTCGGTCTTAATTCCACGCAAACCACGGTGGCTGACAACTAGCCCTTCTGATATCCAGGGCCAACTGAAGGGCCGTCATCACTCATCAAAGAGCTGCGAGAATAACACTACTGCATATGCCTGGAGTTGCGTCCTGACTATGGTGCGTGGAAATCTGTACCGCAAGGACCGCGGCCGTGCCGCAAAAGAAAAGGAAATCGGCCCTCGTTCCTAACTTGCTAGGTTAGCCATGCTGTTGTTGTTGCTTATTAGATTCTGTTACCTTTTTCGTCAATTTCGAATCTTGGTAAACGACCTGCTACAACCCACCGCTTGAGACCCAGGGTTCCACGGTGATCAGATCATGTCACTCAAGAAAAATCCCCTGAACGAAGTATACGAGATATGCTGTAACCTTGGGTAAATACTGAAAGACGAGTGGTCAAATTGCATAATTTAATCCAACATGCCAAACTGTTTGAGGTTCCTAGAAAGTACGAGAATAATTAAACAACTGATGCATTCAGATTGCTACATCTACTCTGTGAAGGACAGGGAAAAAGCCCTTCCCCCAATCTGGCTGGCGGTGCTGCAACCTGCAATCTCTCAGACCTCGTTGTGGGTAACAAAGCCCGCAACAACGAAGCAGCTTTTAAAAAACGAAAAGAAGTATTACGTAATCGGCCGAGAAGGAAGGGGGTTTCCAAATGATTACGCTTGTGTAATTTTGACATAATAGCTATGTGGTGGGGGGGGGCTATGTGGTGGGGGGGGGGGGGGGGGCGTAAAAATTGTCCAATAAGTGATTACGTAATATATGAACGGCCCCTAAGAAGTAAAGAAAGTAAGCTGCGAAGAGAGTAGATGCAGCCATCTGAAATCTGAATCCAGCAGTTGTATATTTCTTCTTGGACGTTCTAGGAATCGGGAAAAAATAGGCATGTTGCTTGTTTGCTGTCTCGCGACATTACGGTTGTGTTCTAACAGCTAATTAACGCGCCCACCTATCAATCCAATTCTGCCCATTATTATATTCGTCAGTGATTGGGTGACGTGATCTGCAGATCACCGTGAGACTCCAAATCTCAGGAGGGCTAGTGGTCAACCACCCGTGGTTTGCGTGGAATTAAGACCGACGAGTGTCTTTCTTGATGGTGGAATAGCATGATACTAATAATTAATGACGTGGTTTAACTTCCGAGTGGGTCGTTATTGACCCAGTTGATCGATTTTAAAAGTTAAATCAACGTACGGGAGTAATGACCAAGATATAACATGTTTTAACATATAACATACTAATATTTGTAAAAGTTTGACAACATTATATTTAATTAATAAATTTTGTGGTCCTAGTGGGTCGCTAATGACCCATTTTACCGATTTTTCGTAGTTTATGATGATTATCACTTGCTGAGAGGCGATTTTGCACTTATGATGTCATGTTTTAAGCTGAATTCAAGAACTTACATGGACATATTATGTAGTAATAAGCAAGTGAGCCGAGTGGGTCGTTAATGACCCAAATTCTTTATTTTTTTAAAAGTTGGAGTCACACAATATTGACCATATTTTTTTAACTTATGCTACAGTTTTTATTTTATCCTAACGTCTTTGTTTCAGAAGTTAAAGCCGAAAAACCGTGATGGGTCGTTTGCGACCCGGACGAGTGGGTCGTATGCGACCATAGCTGTATCTTTCAAAGTAAACGAGATACAGATTAGCTTTTTTGGATATCTCATTTTTGCTATAAAGTGACCTAGTGTGTTAAACGGCATCAAAATCGGCAAACTTTAAAACTCGTCTTCCCTAATGGGTTAATTTAAACAGACGGCTCGACCTCGCGCACGAAATTAAGCATGATTTGCACGCGTGGCGCATTCCAATGGTCAAGTAGAGAAGTAGCTAGCACGTGACACAATTCAGCCAATCAGAGTACAGGAATCCGCGAAGTTAAAGTTGCAAACTTTTGATCGACCCATAATGAGACTTTTTTGGAGATTTTGAGATAACTCAACAACTACGTTGTCTTAAATTTTCCCCTGGGGAGGAAACGTTATTTTTACAAAATGAACATTTTGCAAACAACCGCGGAAGTCTCTAACTCTTTTACTTTCAAAGTTAGGCCCCATCCAGTAAGGTTTCCTGGGTGTAGCTGACGCGTAGCAGGGTATTTTGGTTCAAACTTAAGACTATTTAAAGAATTAAAAGTACCCGTATTCCTCCAAACTTACAACCTTTAAAAGTAGCTGTATTTAATTTAATTTCGCAGTTAAACTAAATCTTATAGTTATACTGTTTACTTCATGATTGGGTTTTTTTATTTTGTCATCAAATTCGTTCTTATCGGCCAGATAAAGAACTTAGTTTGTTGATTCATTGACAAACAAATTCCACTTCGTACAGATTGGAAATTGTTTGAAGCCACTCTAATACATGAAGTGAACGGGACAGTTATTGGAACAAGAGAAGAAGGTTTGCTCGTTGTGAGTTTAACGGATAAGATAAGTGGAGAAAAAATGAACGGGACCGTTTGTCCTGGTAACTTTAATTGGTACACTGCAAATACCTTCTGTCAATACCTTGGAAACAAACAGGGAGAATGGGGCAGCAAACCGAACAATTACTGGAATCTCATTTCCGAGTGAGTTTTTGATTACATTTTTCTTTTGAACATTGATATAAAGTTTAAACACGGTACTTGGTAATATTTATATTACGAGGGTTTGTAAACCCAGGTAAATTTATGCAACCAATAATATAATTCAGGCCGTTTTTATTACAACAAACAATAAAGTCAGTGATACTGAATGAATTGATCTGCAAAGACATTAACAACAAAAATACAAAATCTGAATGCTTTGTAAACGTTTCAACAGACAGTTGCAGAAACAATCAGAGTGTGTGGCTGTATTGTACCAATGAAACAGGTGATGTACCCCTATTTCATACCATGTGACTTTTCAGATTATGACAGAAGTTATAATTATTAATTCGTATTTAATCATGTATATTTTAATATACGGGGTGGGCCAAAAGTCAGTGGGCATACGTTGGCCTTAATAGCTCCGCTGTGTTTTATATTTGAGAGCTGTTGCTTTGCAGATGGCATACTGTACTTACTGGTTCGAGGATTTCGTCGTCAAAATTTGAAAATTCGAATATTTTAGACCACCCCGGACCCCTTTTCAATATTAAAACACCTATATTGTTTTCTCTGAACATGCTGAACGCCTATTTTTTTCTGAGACGGTAGATTATGAAATGTTGCATATGATCTGAAAACATGAGGCAAAACGGATTAGAAATGACGAAGTTATTAAGCATTTTCTGTATCTCGTTAACAACATTGACAGGGTGATTATGTGACACAACACCTTAATTGGGCACCCTTAACAATTCCCATAATGTTTAACGGGGTGGTTAACGGGGTCACCTAATCACGTGATTAGGTAAACCAATCACCTGATCACACGTAATTCGAATGGCCAAACACAATTCAATAAAATTTGGCTCGATTCGATTATCAAAACTATCAAATAAATGCAAAAATGAACCTTCATTTGAAAAAATGAACTCTAATATTTATCGATTTGACAAATTCCTCCAACCAGTGGTGGTAATAAGTCATACCAGAAAGAATTATTTCAATTGGGTACTCAGTGACTGAGCTATCTTACTATATATAAAGCGAGACGATATATATATATCGGTACACATCAGAATCCCCAGAGCCTCCACGCTCCGTTTGTCATCCGACATCTTTTTATGAGATTTTAGTTTGTTTTCAGTAACATTTATCATTATGAGTCCCCCGATGCCTAAATTGGACAACTTAGCAGTTAGATCAGTTAGGGCATCTTGTCAATTGAGATACTTACAGACTACGAGAGACCACGGTAATATCCCTAGAGGTATTGCTACTCAAATCAATTTTAGGTGTGCAGTTAAAGACACTTTTTATGTAGAATCCTGTAAAGCGCTTAATCAGTTACAGAAATCAAGAATGCTAGACTTAGTCATAGATAATCAAGTAATCAGGTCTCAGACTTTGCGTAAAAGCTTTTATAGTTTCAAAAACTGCATCAAATCTGCACTTCCCCCATCAGATCATGAAAATTTAGAGAATCATTTATCTAATTTAATGCACAAGGAGAAACTTGAACTAACCAAGCGTCATGAATCTAAGTTGAAGAGAGATAAGGACTATGCTATTTATGTTGCACCTTCATATGTGGATAATGCTAAACCTGTGAAGAAGAGGAGAAGAAGGAAGAGAAAAAAGATTAATCGTACTACATCCCACAGACATCAGAGGACGTTAATCAAAGGTACTCTTCCCAAGGTTGAAGACTTGTCAATGGAAAACATGTCCAGAACAGTTGTAAATCTTACAGACAAAGAGCTTAGTAAAGAGCAACTCTATGTCTTTTTCTTGTCTCACAAGTTTGCACCTACACCTCCCCTACCAGATCTAAGCCGCTTCGAGAACGATTTGTGTAGATGGTTTTCTAAAATGAGAGCTAAAGTTGTATTTGATAGCTTTAAATGTGGACCCAACAAAGCAGATAAGAGAGTTACTGACATGGAACGTTGTCTTATAAAGACTGATGCATCACGTACTTTCGAATCTTGTAAAAACCCTGCACTTGAGGCGTTTATAAAATGCTGCAGAGCAGAAGTAGACCTCCACAGGCCAACTCAGAAATTCGTCTCACCAGATAACATCGCTGCGCCCATCAGAGCAGCTCTCAAAGAAGTCAAAGGTTGGAAAGACATTGTTATCAGACCATTCGATAAAGGAGTAGGATTCTTCCTTCTTAGTGAAGAAGATTATATTCAACGAATAGGTGTACATTTAAATGATAGATCTGTATATAGTATTGTAAATAATGTAGATGATTTAGTTGTAGAATTGATTGATAAAATTTCGAATTGGACAATTGAGTTTAAAGATGAATTAGGTATGTCCAAGAAGGTCAAGGAGTGGGTTATTCCATGTACTGAGCTTAACCAGCCTGGAAACATGTACCTGAATCCCAAGGCACACAAACCACCTTTGTATCCTGGGAGGATGATTACCACCGGCTGTGGTTCATACATTGAAAACCTTTCTGCCTTGACTGCGTATGAATTGAAGAAGGCTACTTTGAATTATAGAATTATTGATACCCCTCACTTTCTGAGGAAGATTGATAGCCTGAACGAGTCTAGCATATTGTTGGGAAAGGAGGTTATACATGTTGCCATCGATATATCTAACATGTTTACCAACATTCCTAGGGATATGGGGATCCAACAATGCACTAAGCACCTGAATAAAAGGAGTAGTGGTGATCAATTGTTTAGTACAGAATGCATTATTAGTGCACTAGAAATTACTCTTGATTACAACATTGCTTCATTTAACGGTATAACATACCGCCAGGAGCGTGGAGCAGCGATGGGTCCTAAGAACTCATGTGAGTATGCTGATTGTGCTATGGATAAGATTGATATCTTAGTTAACGAAGGAGATCTAGAATATGGCCCGCCTCATAGACCAGCATTCTGGGGTAGATTACGTGATGACATTTATATGGCTTGGCCCGGTACTGTTGAGGAACTATTACAATTCATGGAATGGCTCAATAGTATCCACCCAAACCTTTTGTTTACTTACGACTACTCTAGGGACGGCGTTGAGTTTCTAGACACCTATGTCTATGCTGTTGGTGATGTTGTCCACACCAAACTCTACTCTAAACCTAGTGACACCCACTGCTACCTTATCCCCACGTCATGCCATAGGAACCATGTTGTAAAAAACATACCTTTTGGAGTGGCGAGGCGGGTGAGACAGAACAACAGTGAAGACACTAACTTCTTGGAGCAGAGAGAGGTCTATACACGTTACCTTCTAGCCCGAGGTTATCATTCCAGTATTATAGAAGATGCCTTTAACAAATTTAGTGATATAGCTAATAGGAAAAACTTGTATACCCTTAAAGACAAGGATGAGTCGACTGCCTGTTTAATACCCATGGTGATGGATCAAAATCCAGCACTTCCCAACATGGGGGGCATTATCCATAAGTATAAGCACCTTCTCAACCTTGATCCGGCCCTGAAGAAGCTGGTACGTGCGGACAGTGTATTCGTGAGTCATCGAAAGAATCAAACTATCGGTGGCATGCTTGTACACAATAAGTACCGTGCCAGTGGAACTTTAAACTGTGATAATGAGAGAGAAACAACTGCAAGTCAGATCCAGGAACCAGACTCCGAAAGTCTAAGGGCGGTTCCCGGGGCTGTCGACCCAGGGTGCCATGCTTGTGGTAAATGCTATGTTTGTAAGCAAAATTTCCTGTCCCCCTGTTCCAACTTTAGTAGTCACCATTCTAAACAAGTTTTCCCTATAACTAAGTATATATCTTGTCAGAGTTATAACCTCATTTATTTAATGGAGTGTAAGACTTGTAAACAGTCGTATGTCGGTTATACTACCTCAAATCTCCCTAAGAGATTCTCTAACCATAAGAGTCACATAAAGAAAGGTATAAGAAGTTGTAAATTAGTTAACCATTTTTTAGATATTGATCATGATTTAGATTTTAGTACCATAGCCTCCTATAATTCCTCACTTAGTAAGCACCTTTCTGTCATTATAGTAGACGCTTTAGTATTTGAGCCTAATATTAGTAAAGCAGACAAAGAAAAGGCTATGGAAGCTAGAGAGGGGTTCTACCAGACCCAATTGAAAACCCTTGAACGGTTTGGGGGTATGAACACCCTTGATAGTAACCATATACTTTTTAAATCTGCCGGAGCTTAGTTTTAGTTTTAGTATATTTTGTAGATTTTATTTAGTTATACCATTATTCCAGAGACGTGCATACTACATTTTTTACTTTAGTATTAATTTTACAGGTTTTTTGTTGTGATTTTAAGTGATTTTCCGAGAATCAGTTATCAGTATTTAGATAAGAGATAAGATAAGAGTACATTTTTAACGGCTTTCAGTTTCTTTTTTAAATTTCAGTTCATCAGATTTTCCCACTGCTTTTAGTTTGTATTTATTCTCAATTGTATATGATTCGTATTTGTTGTAGTTACTTTAATGATATAATTTCTCAGAATTGATGTAAATAAACGATGCAAAGACTTTCGAAGATCTAATCACAACCGCTTTCTTTTATTGTGTAGAAGTCCAGCCATGAAATATATATATATATTATTAGTCAGCCACAACTATCAGTAAAACAACGCCTTGACTTCAAATGTCGGTAAAATGTACCTTTACAGTCATCCTGATATAAGGCCATGTTAGTAAATTTATTCAAAATATCAATCCATCAATCAATCAAATAAAAGAAATTTAAAATTTAGAAATTTATGTAACTCAGCAATTCAAGTTATGGTGGGTGGAAATCCCAAATGAGTGGTAGAGGTGAGAAAATAAAATATGCAAGAAAAAAATCATCTTTCTTCTCTAACATTCATCCCTCCAAAGTGCTTTAAAGTTTTAAGCTGGTTTTGCCAAAAGTTCTCCCTTTGTTTACATATACTTAGTCTATCCTGGGCACATTGCTCAAAATTCCCAACGTCAACTTGCTCTATAATCGAAACATTAATGTCCTTACTTAAAGTACTGGTAAACAACTTAGTGGTGGTACGGTCAAGATTGTGCAAAATCTCATTATCTATAAAATGGCAGGAAAGTTCACAAGTCCTTCTTTGGGTTTTAATGTGGGATTTATGGTTCCTAAATCTAACCTTTAAAGAGTCTGAAGTACATCCTATATAACTTAACTTACAAATATTATCATTAACTATGTACACAACATTTTTAGTATCACAGTCCAATCGTCCTTTGATACTGAATACTTGGTTGGTGTGGAAACTGCCGATTGTGGTTGATGGTTTCAGGAAGTTTTTGCAGAGATCACATTTCTTAGCACAAGGGAAGCAACCTCCAGAATCAGAATCCTCAGCTGTGTCTGGAGAGGCGTGGCCTGGATCTTCTACAGCTGGCTCTTCAGCAGGAGGGAGTTTGCTATGAATAAGAATTTCATGAAGTGTTTTTGTCCCTCTAAAAGAGGTGAAAATACCATCAGGGTCAATCACCTTGCAAAGCTCGAGATCTAGACGTAGGATGTGCTTGTGGGAGTTAAGTATCCGTCCTATGTTGGGGAGACCTGGGTTGAAATCTGTTACAAGGGGAATGAGTCTCCCTTTGCTACTGTCATCCTCCTTATGTCTCTGTTGTTGATAGTAGGAGAGCCTGCTCTTGGTTTCCACTTTATCAAAGGCCTGGTTAATTAAGCTATTGCTATAGCCTCTTGCCACAAGATAGCTTGTGTATTGTGCTCGTGCTTGTATGTATTCATCATGCTCAGAAGTAAGTTTAAAGATTCTAAGTGCAGTGCTATATGGTATGTTTTTTATGGTATGTGTAGGATGGCAAGAGGTGGGAACTAGGAAGGCATGGTCATCACATGGCTTACTGTAAGGTTTGGTATGTAGTTGGCCTGCTTTCATGTATATAAAAGTGTCTAAGAATTCAGTGCCCTCTAATGAAGCCTTCAACGTGAATTTTATGCCTGGCATTCTAGAATTGAGCCATAAGTGGAATTCCTCGAGCATTTCCTGTCCATGGGTCCAAGGGACATACACATCATCGCGGTACCTGGCCCATAGGAGAGGGGGGTGGCTCCAAGTCCCTTCCATACCATCTCTGTCTATCTTGTCGATGGCTGTATCTGCATAAGCACAAGCGTTCTTTGGTCCCATTGCAGTTCCTTTTTTCTGCTTGTATATGACACCTTCAAACTCTGTTATGTTGTAGCATGCTTTCTCGATAGTCGATTCTGATTGTTTAAAGTCTGTCACGTGTCAAAAGATATGCTTCACCTCCCCTCCAGAATCCACATCTATACATCAACTTACAGTAGCTGCTCAAAATAAAAATGGATTGTTTGAAAAACCAATGACTATAAATTCGTGGATCATAAAAGTATTGAAATAAAGAAGTAGCAGCTTTACAGTTCCTGGGCACCAATATTTTTAACACCTTATTAAGACACCATTGTAATTGTGATCAGCTGTGGCTTGAAAGGAAATAATGTCCATCTACTTTATCTGAACAGTGTCAAAGGTTTCTGCATCTAGGTGTTCTTTAACCCTCTTGATGTAGTCTTCTCGGTCTAAAAAGAAGTATTGTGAACCTTTGTCAGCTGGTCTGATGACAACATCTTTCCACTTAGCCATATCTGATAAGGCTTTTCTGGATTCTACTGGGATATTGTCAGGAAGCTTAGATCTGGTAGAGCTGTTTGTTTGTAACAGGTCTTTTGTTACTCTCTCTATGTAAAGCTCTAAACAGTGGTTATTGCATATTTTTAAAAGCTTAGTTTCATCCGACTTAATGAGGGTTCTTTCCATACTTTTTATCGCTGCAATGGTCGGAGGTGTTGCTTTTGGCTGGGGTTGTGTGTGCCAAAACCATGCCCATCTAAGCTTGTAGGCGAACTGAAGAATGTTCAGTCTGAACTTGGAATAATCTGGTAATGCAGGTGTTGGTGCAAACGATTTCCTTAGATAGAAGAGGAAGAGTTGGTGTGGTGTTATATATATATATATTTATTTATCCGCACCATTTTACTGACACCACGGCATCAACTTTAACACGGGTTTCCGCAAAAACCGTACAAGATATTAAACTGAAACTTTTTTAACTGATTCAAATGCTTTAATGGCCTTCAAATCAGCATGAAAAAAATCGAAAATCGGCCAAAGAATAAGAATTTTAGTACCCAAAATTTGGACCCCAAAGTGGTGTCAAAAACGCGAATTAAATAGGTAATAATTATTTGTACTGGGAGACTTTAGGGTAGGAAACTGATCCGGCCACCAAAGAGCCTTGACACCAATCTTAAAGGTTTGACGGGTTCCTGCTAGTTAAGGCCAACGTATGCCCAATGACTTTTGGCCCACCCTGTACATTATTGATTATACGGTCATACATCAGTGTACCGACGGCAGTACGGCGGCAGTACGGCGGCAGTACGGAGGCAGCACGGCGGCAGTACGGCGGCAGTACGGCGGCAGTACGGCGGCAGTACGGCGGCAGTACGGCGGCAGTACGGCGGCAGTACGGCGGCAGTACGGCGGCAGTACGGCGGCAGTACGGCGGCAGTACGGCGGCAGTACGGCGGCAGTACGGCGGCAGTATAGTGACAACACTTATATCAGACTTTTGATCCAATTATTTCATGAGTTTGATGGTTAGTTCACATTGATTTGTCAATTTAAGAGACGATTTTGATGATTTGTCAATTAAAAACATATTTGGATAAATCAATATAAGTTGTAAATAAGTTCATACAATATCATTATAAATCAGTAACTGTCACCCTGGAGCAATAAAATAATTTAAATTTAGAGAATCTTTCCAGCAGCAATTGCGAGTCGTTTCTTCTCCAGAAAGTCACTCTGCTGGAGGATAGCCCCACATCGGTCAGAGAGAATCTGCTGGTTGATCCTGTCAGTCCGCTCCTCCTTGAGAATCTGTTTGATGAGACTGGCGAATCGTGGTCTATCAAGGATAATCAGCTCTGCTATCTTCTTCTTGCGGTAGAAGGATCTTTCAGGGATTTGTTTCTGTTTCAGGAACTTTGAGAGGCTGATGGAGGTATCAGGACGGTTGGCTAAGTCTCTGTGCACTCTGTTGTAGGAGGATAAGGCTTCGCCAGCTACAGAGGAGCGGAAGTAGGTTTAATCAGTGTTCAGACGGCGTCTACTATATAGGTGGTGGTGAGGAACTGGAAGAGGGTCGGGTAGGTGTAACCACAGGTCTTACTAGGCGAGCATTATCAGTATCTGGTGGAGTAGTTCCTCCTGATCGTCTAGAAGGTATAACAGCTTGAGTGGCACCAGGAAGGATAGTAGGATCGTTGGTAGGACTAGGAGAGAGGGGACGAGATCTCTTTCGTGTTGGGGTAGCCGCAGTAGTGTCGTTCGATGTAAACTGCAGAGGAATATGTTCAGCTGTAGTTCTCCAGAAGGTAGTCGAGTGTAGTCCTCCGTCCTGCAATCTTTACAATCTCTGAGTTTGATATCCTGAAAAGTAGACGGACTAGGGATACTGGGGGATGATGTAGTAGAGCTGAGAGAGGAATCCATTCTTCAAGGTTTAGGTGTTCAGATGTTGACGATAAAACGAATTGATGAGCACAACCATTGAGTCGACTGCTATATATATACAACATGGCCTCACCTTCTCTGGTCGTTAGGGTCTTGTTAGTTCATGTGATGCGCTCAGATCATATTACGAGTGTCTCACATCACTTGCGATCACGTTACTGATCCAAATTATAAGTATAACCAACACTCGATTCGTGATCTGACCTAGACGGCCGGATGATGAGCAACGATAAATTTTTGGGTAAGTACTTGGGCTCTTGAAATATTTTCCGTGAAACAGAGAAAACTTTGATTTTACTTTTTAGCTGAATTAGTACAATTTTGTAAGATTGACTTGAAAAATAATAACAGGATTTGGACAGCTGGAAAACTTAAGAAAATTTCACAGATGTACCAATACAATTTACTTCCAAATAAAAGTTCAAATATCATAAAAACGTCTGTAATTCAACAACTGGGTGATGTGTTTGGAGAAGATGCTGCAGGCAGAGTTTCTGATCCTCGTCAGCCCGTGCTGTTTCATCCACATGTAGAGAGTCAAGTCCAGCTCCAATGCGTCGATACTTCTCCTCCCACCTCTACGTAGTCCAACTGCTTGCTTGGCGTGTGTCCATGTGCCTTCAATCGTGTTGGTATGAGTTCCTGTAGCAGGATCGACGAAGTTACGGCAGTGCTTGACATCATGGTGAACATATCCGTGGTCGTTCAAGCTCAAGTAAGCTTTCCATCCATCGGTAAGAACTGTCGTCCCAGGTAAAATCCACTGTTTGATCAGTCCTATCAGCGTCGGTGCGTCTCTAACATTCTCTGGACAGATAGTGAGGAAGCAGGAGTCACTTCCACGTTGAATTCCTCCAAGTACCCAAGATCCGTGCACCATTCTCCCTATGTCCAGCTCATATACTTGCTGTGGTAGAGTCCTCGTCCTTCAAGAAGAAAGAACGAGTCCGCGACTTCCTCAAAAAGATCGACAACATGGTTAACGCCTAGGAGCTTCTCTAGATGACGCTGTGAGTTACATGGGTATCACATCAGAGAAATACAAAAGATACCATAAGTACCTGCAATGAATCTGAATTATTTTAATACTTAGGGTGACAGTTACTGATTTAAAGTTATGATATTGTATGAACTTATTTACAACTTATTGATTTCTCGAAATATGTTTTTAATTCGCAAATCAATGTGAACTAATCATCAAAATCATGGAATAATTGAATCAAAATTCTGATATAAGTGTTGTCACTATACTGCCGTGGCACTGCCGTGGCACTGCCGTGGCACTGCCGCCGTACTGCCGCCGTACTGCCGCCGTACTGCCGCCGTACTGCCGCCGTACTGCCGCCGTACTGCCGTCGGTACACTGATGTATGACCGATTATACATATGCACGTTTCTTTCCTTTAACCGTAAAACATAAAAAACAGCTGTTATAATTTATTCATTTTCATTTTAAGACGGTTCTATGGTTTTTTTAAATCACTCTATCACCGTATTCATAAACTAATTATATACTCATTACATATCACTGAGATAATTATAATTAAGACTTCTTATATATTATGTATACATTATATATAATTCTAATAATTTACATTTCTAAGATCCGTGCTGCAGCTCAAAACATTTCATCCCAGTTTATCATAACTTACAAATCAACAGATATGTGGAGCCCTGTGGTTAATGAGAAAAGTATCCCTGCTGATCTGGATACTTCTTACCTGCACCTGAGAACTATCAGCACTGTGGGTACTAGTAGTAGGGAGTATATAAGGATATATTTTTATAGTGAGGAAGGAGAATATGGAGGAGGTATTGTTACCTGGTTCGGTACTCCTGTAGAGTATTATCTCCCCTATTGTCAGTCAGGCTTCACTCCCTTCCAGAGTCTACCTGCAGAAACAGATAAACACTGGGTAGTAGAGAGACGTAGCTACAGGATCATAGTATATTGTAATGGAAAACAGGTACTCAACATAACAGCATCATCTGAAACGTGTAGTGATGAAAGTTGGAATACTTATTGGGGAAATGAAGTGAGCATAATAAAGCTTTATGCAGGCAGCACTACCTCTTATTATAATATAGGTTAGTGCTTTGGTAGTATTATAGTACAGATGTGGGTGACAATGTAATTATTTTAAGAAGCGTAATTAAATTTCTATTTTAGACGGTGTTTGATCCGATACTGCGATCTCGTGTATTATTAAACCAGTCATGGAAGGATCAATGAATGTTGAATGATCAGGGTAAATTCGCTCTTTCAAAAATACGATTCTTCACTCACTGCATTATCATAATCGTTTCAGAGCGTGCGTGGGAGTTTGAGAGAGCATCTCTTATCAACATGGTGACTGGAACGAGTAGACTTAATGATAGCGGGGGTCTTTTGATCGCAACAGTTTATAACAAGCAAACTGGTATGGTGCAAAATGGAACAGTTTGCAAGGATGCGTTTAACTGGTATTCGGCACAGCTTTTTTGCTGGACAATTGGACATCACTTCTCTGACTGGGGAAGTAATCCGAGAAACATGAAATATGTTCCTGAGTGAGTTTGATTTATATGTCAACATTTTAGTTTCTGTTGCAATGGAAATGCTGTTTCTTTGCTATTTTGAATATCCGAACATTCTGCAATCTGCACCCAACCATTTAATCATTCAGGGATTGGCTGAAACGAACTGACATGTCAATAGTAATGGATGACGTTAACTGCAAACAGAATGATATTGACATATCAGATTGCAATTCCCGCATTTTGAGACACAACTGTCAGCATGAGGACAATATTTGGCTCCACTGCTCTAGTAAAACAGGTATAGATTATCTTAAAAAGTAAAAAGCTTAAACTTATCAATAAACTTTATAATTAAGTTACGATTTATTTCATTATACAATCAATACTAAATAGCCCGTATAAACTATAAGCGCTACGACATGAAAATGAAATGATAGGGCATCAGCTGATGGGTTTTGGTTCTGGTTCTATTTCCTAAAATAACAACTTTTCGCTGTTCAGGATGTGTTGACGAAATTTTGCAGCAATCAAACAAAAGCTGCACTGTGACTGATATCGGGGGGTTTTTGAAACACTTGTGTTATGATGAAAGTAGAAAAGAGTATTTTCACAAGTGTGCTTATTCGAACACTACCTATCATGTAACAGGAACTGAGAGTAACACACTCTTTAGTGTCTCTACTGTCTGTGAAAATGACCCGTATGTTTATCAGGCATGTGGTTTTCATACGAAAATTACCTTACAGAGCATTTATTTCTGTGGAGGTTATTTTAGAAATGATACAAATTTAGAAGTACAACAGTTTGTAGAGTGTGACCAGAAGTGTAGAAGACATTCTGGTGAGGAACAGAGTTTTACGTCGAGGTTTTTTAGCTCCAGCTCCATGATCTATAACAACGAAAATCAGTGTGACGACAAATGCGACTCATTCAAATGTGAGGATGAGAGTGTATGTGAGGGTCACACATACGGAGTTTACTGTGCTTACTGTGCTTACTGTGCTGGTGGGAATAATTATGTACCTGTATCCTGGGTTTGTGACAAAGAAAAAGATTGTTATAACACTAACAGGGAGGATGAGAAGGACTGTAACAACACCACATTACCAACCTGTATACATTATAAGGAGAAAGTGAGGTATGATTGGGACATTACAGTCCCCATATTAAACTACACCAGGTGTAGTGTATTTGATCACAGCGGTGACAACTATGACACCTATCCGTACTGTTACGGATATCTAGACCAGACAAATTGCACTGATGTAAACAGAGTGGGTGGTTACTGTTTGATAAATGGTTTCATGTCGAGTGTATCAAAGTACGTGTTCTGTGGAAGTGAATTTAAGCTAACCAATGAAAATACTAGTCTCTGTGACGATAATCTAGAAAACGATTGTCGCTCATTATCTGCAGACTGTGTTGTTCACAAACACAAACTCTGTGATGGAGTTAGTGACTGTAAAGATAATAGTGATGAGACCCGTGACATATGCCACCTAACAACAGTGGGATTCTTCAATTGTACTCGTGGTTTTGGTGGCGATAGAAATATAACAATACCCATAAAATGGATAATGGACAACAAAACCGATTGCCTCAATGGAGAAGATGAAAAAAGAAACCTTTGGAAATATTGTGGAGAGAAAAATGATTCGGCTTATAGAGTTGTCTTAGGAGACAAAACCTGCCAGGATATTTTGTTGTGTCCTGGAGATTCTGATCAAGGCTATGTTGATTTTGACTTCCTTTGTGATGGTGTGAACTCTTGTGAGATTGAAAATGAGGTCTGCAGAATTTCGCGAGATTTCCCAAGTATCAATACGACTGCTGTGAATGAAAGATGTGCTGGACGAGATTTGTGCAAATCATTGGACTCTACAAATGTAACATGTCATATACGGGAATTTCAGGGGCCAGCAGGATCTGCTTTTGGTGTCAAGACAATGATCAATGTGCCGACCTCTCAAGTAAACTGCAATAGTCTTTTCGGTGAATATTATGTGTTTATCAGTTGCATGGGTTTATGCTTAAACTCTACGTGTCCTATTCAAGACACTTTTTTAGAACATGATTCATGTCCTGGTCAGTATCCTGGCCGAGTAAAAACTCTGACAAACAACAATAACCTGACTTTTGTGACAATGTCTCATGTAGGTGAATATGAAAATACAATTTTCCAATGTAAGAATACTAAATGTATAAAGTACAGCCAAGTTTGCGACCTTGTTGATGACTGTGGTGACATGTCGGATGAACGAAACTGTACAAATCATATAGTTTGTGAGAATACAAACAACCGGACAGATCAAGTAAAAGAGCACTTGATATCTCATTCCCAGAAGTGCGACGGTAGATTTGATTGTTTTGATCTTTCAGATGAATGCAATCTAGAGTGTGGCAAGGAAATCCTCCAAAACTGGTTCTTGAAACTTTATTGCTGGTTGTTGGGCCTCTTAGCAGCTATTTTTAATATCATCACCGTGTGCAAAGTAGCGAGTTGTATTAAAGACTCTGAAACAAGAAGCAATTTATACACTACAGTACTAATTTGTGTAATCGGAATTGGTGATTTCCTAATAGGAGTCTACTTGATCGCACTATCAGTATTCGACAGCATTATTTTCGGAAAGAATTATTGCAAGAAGCAAGCTGAGTGGTTATCGGGGAATTCTTGTTCTGTTCTTGGAGTTATCAGCACTGCGGGATCACAACTTTCTTTATTTTCGATGACTCTTTTAAGTTTGATCAGGATGTGGGGAATTCTGAACAGCTCTCTTAGCATTCCAGCCCGTGTCAATAAAAGAGCAATAGCAAAATTAATTGGGATCGTTATTGGAATCGTTACTGCTTTGATATCAGTAGCAATCATACCATTGGTCCCCGCCTTAGATGACTACTTTGTGCAAGGTTTCTTCTATGATCCACTCTACAAGCTATTTATCGGATTCCCGAACAAAATGAAACATATTAAAATTCTTCAAGCATACTACAAAACTGAAAATTTGTTGGCGAATACAACTTGGGCTGAGATCGGCGAGAAAGTTGATGGAATGTTCAACCAAAGCTTGAGTAGAAGTGCAGTGCACTTATACGGAAATGATGGTGTGTGCCTCTTCAAATACTTTGTTCGTAGTGATGATCCTAGAAGAAACCGCATAACATCGGATATGAAAACAGAAATGATCGACGTGAAAGGAAATATGATAGTTTGGCTTATGTTGGGCGTCAACCTTTTCTGCTTTGTGGTGATAACCGTGTCCTATTTGATGATCAACATTATATCTCGGAAATCATCCAGAAATTCTGGGCAAAATAGCAATCCAGATGCTGTCCGCAGAAACCGAGCAATACAGACCAGGATTGCGCTGGTCATAGCCACAGATTTCGCCTGTTGGGTTCCATTTATGATCATCAGTGGGCTCCACAATCTCGAAACAATCGATGCTACAGATTGGTACGTAAGCTTCGCTATGATAGTTTTACCCCTCAATTCGGTCATCAACCCTTTGCTATATGATAACACTCTCAGAGAGTTGTTTGGTGAGGCATTCAGAAATTTTGCTGCTAGATGTTCAAGAGGCGCTACATGTTTAAGATTGCAAGTTACTGCTGTAGAAATGGGAGATCAAATAGAGGGAGCATCGCAAGTTAGAGCAAACGAGGATATCATCGCAGAAACGCCAATTTAGATGGAATCATAGAACATCTAATGATAAGGTAGGATTTTACAGATTTACATAGAATCTTTGAATAAGCAGGATATATGCTTTATTAAAAACTGTTATCATCAAGATGAATGTACATTTTACATTATACAAAATAAATTTACACGATATAGATTCCCACACTTGGATAAAAATGATGGCTAAACACTTTCACCAACAGTTTATAAGTCTTAATTGGTTTATTAGTGATTAACATTTCTACTCTCAGGGTGATATTACGTAATGGACAGCTACCAAATGTATGAACGAGCTTATGGAAGATAATAAAGTAGATGGACACTATTTCCTTTCAAGCCACAGCTGATCACAATTACAATGGTATCTTAATAAGGTGTTAAAAATATTGGTGCCCAGGAACTGTAAAGCTGTAATAAATGACTGCTACTTCTTTATTTCAATACTTTTATGATCCACGAATTAATAGTCATTTTAGTTTGAGCAGCTACTGTAAGTTGATGTATAGATGCGGATTCTGGAGGGGAGGTGAATCATATCTTTTGACACGTGACAGACATTAACCAATCAGAATCGACTATCGGGAATCGACTATTCAAACCCTAAAATCGCTGCCATTTGTAACAAAAAATGCTTCACCTCCCCATCAGAATTCACATCTATAACTTTTTTAACCAAGGACATTGTGACACAGGGATTTATCGTATTATAGGAATTTAATAGCTATCGTCGTCAATTAAAGTGATATTGTACGTCCAATTTTGAGATTATTATACATAAAAACAATTCTTGTTACAGCATGACAATCCAATTACTGTCCAATATTTAAGACCATTTTTTATTTTAAATTTGATTGTTTATTTTCTTTCGTTTATTTCTTTTTTGTTGTTGGTATTTTGTGATTTCTCACTGATTAGTTATATAATATATTACGCTTTAACAGATATTTTCTTGGCTGCTTGATTATTAATGTTATCTTTTTTTTCTAACTAAGGCTAAATTCTTCTGACTGTTATTTTTAGTACTAGGATATATTTACTCTTAAGCAGAAGAGCTATTTTATGTTTTCAGTGAAAAGCCTGGAATTTATTGTATTGAGTGGTTTGATTGCTTTCTAGTTTCTGGTTTATGAAATTGTTTCACTAATTGTCTCGAGCTTGCACAATTTAACGTTTTATAATACTTTAATAAAGACTTAAAAACATAATAGGGAGCTCCTTAACTTTAATAACTGACTTACTGACTTAAGTCGGCTTCTTGGTCCGAGCAACTACAATTCCTCGCCACACGTCGCGGTCAAGCATAACAGATCTTATCTCGTCAACACAGGAAAGGCTGGTGTCCTTCTTTA